TTGGCTGAGTGATTTGGTATGTGTCATGTTTGATACATTGGCTGATTGATTTGGTAGTTGTCATGTTTGATACAGTGGCTGGGTGATTTACCATGTGTCATGTTAGATACATTGGCTGAGTGATTTGGTATGTGTCATGTTAGATACATTGGCTGAGTGATTTGGTATGTGTCATGTTAGATACATTGGCTGAGTGATTTGGTATGTGTCATGTTAGATACATTGGCTGGGTGATTTGGCATGTGTCATGTTAGATATATTAGTTGAGTGATTTGGCATGTGTCATGTTAGATACATTGGCCGAGTGATTTGGTATGTGTCATGTTAGATACATTGGCTGAGTGATTTGGTATGTGTCATGTTAGATACATTGGCTGAGTAATTTGGTATGTGTCATGTTAGATACATTGGCTAAGTGATTTGGCATGTGTCATGTTACGTACATTGGCTGAGTGATTTGGTATGTGTCATTTTAGATACATTGGCTGAGTGATTTGGTATGTGTCATGTTAAAAACATTGGCTGAGTGATTTGGTATGTGTCATGTTAGATAAATTGGCTGAGTGATTTGATATGTGTCATGTTAGATACATTGGCTGAATGATTTGGTGTATGTCATGTTAGATACATTGGCTGAGTGATTTGGTAGTTGTCATGTTTGATACATTGGCTGAGTGATTTGGTATGTGTCATGTTAGATACATGGGTTGAGTGAATTTGGTATGTGTCATTTTAGATACATTGGCTGAGTGATTTGTTATGTGTCATGTTAGATACATGGGTTAAGTGATTTGTCATTTTCATGTTAGATACATGGGTGGAGTGATTTGGTATGTGTCATGTTAGTAACATGGGTTGAGTGATTTGTTATGTGTCATGTTAGATCCATGGGTGGAGTGATTTGTTATGTGTCATGTTAGATCCATGGGTGGAGTGATTTGTTATGTGTCATGTAGGATCCATGGGTGGAGTAATTTGTTAGTTGTCATGTAGGATCCAGGGGTTGGGGGATTGGCCATGTTTCATTTTAGATCCATGGGTGGAGGGATTTGTTATGTTTCATTTTAGATCCATGGCTGAGTGATTTGGTATGTGTCATGTTAGATACATTGGCTGAGTGATTTGGTATGTGTCATGTTAGATACATTGGCTGAGTGATTTGGTATGTGTCATGTTAGATACATTGGCTGAGTGATTTGGTAGGTGTCATGTTTGATACATTGGCTGGGTGATTTGCCATGTGTCATGTTAGATACATTGGCTGAGTGATTTGGTATGTGTCATGTTAGATACATTGCCGAGTGATTTGGTATGTGTCATGTTAGATACATTGGCTGAGTGATTTGGTATGTGTCATGTTAGATACATTGGCTGAGTGATTTGGTATGTGTCATGTTAGATAT